CAACCCCCTCTTGCCACTGCCCGAGTGACAGGTTATAATTCCTGCCGATTGTTTCCTTCCGGACTTCTATGTCTTTTATAAACTTCCAGGCAAAGGGAACCCTTAGTTTATGCATGCATCAAATAAAATGTATCAGACGGAGACCAGCAGGTGGTGGGGGTGTTAAGGTGCTGGATTCCCACATGACCAACTGCGGTTTGAATCCTAGACCTCATAGCTTGAAAATCCATTCGGGCGCGTGTGCGTGCATGCCCAAACGTGCATACCCAAACTCCCGAGAGGAGAATGGAGGAGAAGGGATTGCAGCAGGGCCATCCCCCCCGGGGGAGTGATTTCTCACTTTCCCTCCTTCTCTCTCTCTCTCTCTCCGGTGAGCACATGTGCCCTACAGCAGAAACCTGAGAAAGAAAAGGATTTATCTGTGCATATTTTAAATGAAAACGTCAACATTTTTATTGGAATTTTACTCTGTATTATGGAAATCGCTACGCTCTTTTTATAGAGAGAGACTTTTTTTTTTTCCTACAGGGTGTGTGTGCTTGCTGGAGACACAGAGGCAGAAAGTGAGAAATCACTCCCAGGAGGGATGGCTATGTCACAATCCCCTCTCCTCCAGTCTCCTCTTGGGACTTTGGGCATGCACGCACATGTGCCCGGCATAATTTTTAAACTGCCAGGTTCTGGACTCAAACCGTGGACTGCACCATGTAGGACCCAGCACCTTAACCGCCATGCCACCTACCGACTCAGAAGGGCCATGATTTGATAGCACATGGTGACTGCCCCGTGAACCCCAGCTTTGTCAGCCTGCAACACGCCAAGCACAGACGTGCTATGTTTTTCTGTGGGCAAATATGACTTGTTTGAAATTAGGTATAAAGGATTTAGTGTGGGGGAGCAGCAGGTGGCATAGTGGTTAAGGCGTGGGACTCCCACTTGGACAACTGCGGTGTGAGTCCCAGACCTGGCCCCTTGTGTGTGTGTGTGTGTGTGGGCCGCCCAGATCCCAGGACGGGAATGGAGGGGAAGGGACTGTGGCATAGCCATTCCCCCGGGGGTGATTTCCTCACTTTCCCTCTCTCTCTGTCTCTCTCTCCAGCGAATGCACACACCCTATGAAAAAACCATACGAAAAAAAGAATTTCGGGGTCATTGCACAACGGTGGAACTGCACAGGGGGCTGCAACCTCTAGCTCTGGGATCTTGTCTGTTTTGCAGAAGGTCTTAGTTTATTCTTCTCTATTCTAGGCAACACCAGAAGCCATGAGACGGTCGTTCTACGACTGGTGAGTAGCAAATTCCTGCCCCTTCATTATTCTCCATTCCTACAGGGAAGGGTCCCCTCGTCAGACTTTTCTACAATCGTTGCAGAATTGGGGAGCAGCAGGTGGCGTGGTGGGGAAGGCGCTGGACACTCCCACATGGCTGAGCACGCTGCTTGTCCTGCATCTGCTGGCTGGCTTTCTCGCTTCCTCCCTCTCTCCCTCTGTCTCTCTCTGGTCAAATGAAAAAATAAATGAATGAATAAATCAATAAATAATTATTTTTAAAATCATTGCAGATATATATGTGTGTATATGCGTGTGTCTGTGTGTGTGTATATATGTGTGCGTATATATATGTGTGTATATGCATGTGTCTGTGTGTGTGTATGTATATATGTGCGTGTGTACCCGTATATATGTGTGTATATATATGTGTGTGTGCGTATACATATATATATATATATATATTCCACATATGTATTATGCATAAATACCCCCCATATATGTCTCATATTTATCTAGTCTATATATTGGGTCATTGGAAAAGTCATGACAGATTTTTCTATGTCTTTCTACACAGAAATGCATCATGACTTTTCTGACAACCCAATACATATCCCATATATATAAATACACACATATATATGTTAAATGTTTGCCTTAGGGTGGACTCTCCAGAGAGAGAGACAAAGAGACAGAGACAGTGGAAGTAACTTATCACCCCTCAGGGTGGGATGGCCACACTGCAGTCTCTTCTCCTCCGTTCTCCTCTCAGGATTTGGGGCCCACATGCATACAGGGGCTCTGTGTTTTTCAAACTGCGGGGTCCCGGTCTTGAAGCACAGAGTTGACCATGCGGGATCCCGCACCCTCATCACCACGCTACCTGCTGGCCCCATTCTTAATTTTTTTCCTCAAGTTTTGTTCTCGATATTTTGACACATACAGGGGGATGCGTTCCACATTCCCTTTGTGAAATATCTTTATGGTTTAGTAACAGCCCTGCTGTCTGTAATAGTGATCTGTATTTGAAGTTTTCTTCTGGCTGATGTGATGGTTGCTATAAATTCCTCATTGTCGCTTTTTCCCTGGTTTATGTTTTTACCCCTTTTTGTATTCAAATATTATTCGTCATTAGCTGCTTATTTTTTTTCCAAAGGTTTTTGTCATAGGGTATGTGTGCTCGCCAGAGAGACAGAGTGAGAGGGATCAATAGGTGGTGCAGTGGTTACATGGCTGGACTTCAACATGGCCAACCACAGTTCAAGTCCCAGACCCGGAGGCTTGAAAATCACACCCGGCGCGTGTGCGTGCGTGCCCAAGATCCAGAGAGGACAATGGAGGAGAAGGGATTGTAGCGTGGCCATTCCCCTTCACGGGGTGATTTCTCACTTTCTGTCTCTCTGTCTCTCCGGTGAGAGCATGCATCTTATAGCAAAAAAATCTCAAAAAAACCCAAAAACCAAAACAAAACAAAAACCAGCCCTGGCAAGTTGAAAAACACACCAGGCGCATATGCATGCATGCCCCCAATCCTAAGAGGATGAAGAAGAGATTGCAGAGTGACCGCATGCCATTGTTGGAAGGTGTTTTCTCTTTCTCCCTCTCCCTCTCTATGTCTCTGGAGAACTCACACGCACACTTGGGTCACTGAAAAACAAAAATGGGAATGCATACCTTTTCCCCCATCGTAAGTGTTTTCCATTCTCATTATGACATCGCACGTGTTCGGGATAGTCATAGAAACTTTTTAAAGACAGGAGCGATAGAGCTAACCCTTATCTGTGAGTTTTGAATGTGTATTGTTTCATCCCATATAGAAAACCATTTTTTTCCTACAAAGAGTTTTTATTTTTCGTGTTGGGCAATTGTAAAGGAACGCAGACTGTTTTATCATAACTTTTGCTTCGATGGCTTTAGGATGAATTTAAAAAGTCCTAAACAAAAGAACTGCTCATATTGTCGGTGGTCCAGCCTGCGTGTTCTGTTCTCTACCCCCTCCTAGGAGCGCCCGGCTGTGGGTGTGGCTGAGCTGCCTGCTGGCTGCCGTGCAAGGGACGTTTGTGACGAGGAACGCCCGGCCGAACATCGTCCTACTCCTGGCGGACGACCTGGGGGTGGGCGATCTGTGCTGCTATGGTAATGACACCGTGAGGTAAAGACGGGTGTGAACCCCCTCTCCGTGCTGGGACCTGGCCCCGCACCATCCCGTGTTCTCCTGGTGGGGGCGGGAGGTGGAACAGGGCTGTCGTGTGATGTCAGTGACCCACAGGGACAGTGGAGACTGTCCAAGGATGCAGAAATATGGACAGACTGTTTTCGTATCCCAGAGTCTTCTACTCTATTTTTTTTTTTTAAAAAGAATTATTCACTTAATTTATAGCAGATGGCATCATGGTTTCATTGCTGCATTACCAGTTTGAGCCCTGGACCTGGCGGCTTAAAACATGCTGGGCACGTGTGCGTGCGTGCCCAAGATCCCCAGGGGAAAATGGAGGAGAAGGGATTGTGGCATGGCCCCCTCCCAGGGTGATTTCTCGCTTTCTGTCTCTCTGTCTCTCTCTGTCTCTGCAGCGAGCACGCACACCCTATAGCAAAAGTCTCACTCCAAAAAATAAAGTTTTTAAAAAAGAAATGATTAATTTAACTTCATTAATTGTTATTTTAATTTGCAATAGGGCACATGAACGCACCAGAAAGAGACAGAGAGAAAGTGAGAAAGCAAGCCACTAGTTTTGGGATTTGAACTGTGGTGGGCCATGGGAGTCCAGGGCTTCGAGCAGTACACCACCTGTTGGCCCCATCTGATATTTTAAGCATCTACTCATCCAAAATCCATTGTTTTTGTTTTGTTTTGCTTTGTTTTGTTTTTAGAGAGATTTTTGCTATAGTGCAGAGACAGAGAGAGACCAAGAGACAGAAAGCGAGAGAATGTCGAATGTCCCCAGAAAGGATGGCCATGCTGCCAATCTTTCTCCTCTATTCTTCTTTTGGCACTTGGGGGTGGCATGCACATGTGTCCAGCATGAATTCCAAGTCACTGGGTCTGGGACTTGAACTGTGGTTGGCCATGTTGGAGTTCAGGGATGCTACCACTATGCCATTCGCTGCCCCCACATTCCTGATATTTTCAGTCCCCTTTCTGAGAACCCCCCTGAAGGAGGTGATGGAACGGTTACATCTCTGGACTCCGACATAGTCAACTGCACTTCGAGTCCCATACCTGGTGGCTTAAAACTCACGCTGGGCCAATGTGTGCGTGTGTACCCAAGATCCCAAGAGGAGAACGGAGGAGAAGGGATTGTGGTGTGGCCATCCTCCTGGGGGCGCGATTTCTTGTTTTCTGCTTCTCTGTGTCTCTCCATCTCTGCCCTATAGCAAAAAATCTCTCTCTAAAAAAAACCCCAAACTGACAAAAAATGTGAGGTGGCTTAAAACTCACGCTGGGCCAATGTGTGCGTGTGTACCCAAGATCCCAAGAGGAGAACGGAGGAGAAGGGATTGTGGTGTGGCCATCCTCCTGGGGGCGCGATTTCTTGTTTTCTGCTTCTCTGTGTCTCTCCATCTCTGCCCTATAGCAAAAAATCTCTCTCTAAAAAAAACCCCAAACTGACAAAAAATGTGATCTCACAATATAAGGGGTATAAAAATAAGAATTGTAGGGGCTAGCATACGGCCTAGTGGTTAAGGCTGTGGACTCCTACATGGCCAATTGTGGTTTGAGTCCCAGACCCAAAAGTTTGAAATTCATGCCCAGTGTGTAGAATGGAAGAGAAGGGACTATGGCTTGACTATCTCCCCTAGAGGGTGAATTTTCACTTTCCCTCTCACTGTCTCTGTCTCTCTGGTGAGCTTTGCACCCTACAGCAAAAAGCTAACGAGGAATCCAAAGGAAATCATGCGGAATTCTCTTTTCTCCTGCAGCACCCCGAACATCGACCGCCTGGCCAATGAGGGAGTGATGCTAACGCAGCACCTGGCCACCGCCTCCGTGTGCACACCCAGTCGGGCTGCCTTCCTCACTGGCCGGTATCCCATCCGATCAGGTGAGGGAGAGTAACACAATAATGTTCCTGTCCAATCAGGGGAGGCAGGAATAGGATAACAATGTTACCGACCAATCAGGTGAGCAGGAACAATACAATATTGTTAACATCCAATCTTGTGAAGCAAAAATAATACAATAATGCTACGTCCAATCAGGTGAGGCAGAAATAGTATAACAATGTTACCATCCAATCAGGTGAGGCAGGAATAATATAACAATATTATTGTCCAATCAGGTGAGGCAGAAAAAAATACGTTACCACCCAATCAGGTGAGGCAAGAATAGTACTGGCAAGTTACCATCCAATCGGGCAGAGGCAGGAATAATGCAATAATGTTACCATCTAATCATGTTAGGAAGGAATAAATACAATAACGTTATATCCAATCTGATGAGGCAGGAATAATATAACAATGTTACCGACCAATCATGTGAGACAGGAATCCTACAACAATGTTACTGTCCAATCACATGAGGCAGGAATAGTATAACAATGTTACCATCCCATCAAGTGAGCAGGAATAATGCTAAGTTACCGTCCAATCAAGTGATGCCTGAATAATGCAACCATGTTACCATGTGCTCAGAACACCGTTTGATGATTTTCTGAGCCGCAATTTACAAGAGTTCTCAGAAGGGCATGCAAAGTATCAGGAATCTGGGACCGACAGATGGCATAACGGTTAGGTCACTGGAGTCCCATATGGCTGACTATGGTTCAAGTCCTGGACTCGGTGGCTTGAAACGTAACCTGGATGTGTGTGCATGCATACCCAAGATCAGGAGAGGAGAATGGAAGAGACAGGACTGTGGTGTGGTCATCCCCGCGGAGGGGGTGATTTCTCACTTTCTGTCTCTGTGTCTCTCTGTCTCCACCCTATAGCAAAAATCTCTCTTAAAAATTAAACTAAGGACCAAGGATCTAAATTCCAAGGGTGTTGTCTTGCTGTCTGCAGAGAGCAGTCACAGGTATGTCTCCTGGCAGGTGTCACCAGACCTTCTCACTGAGACAACATGATGACAGGTCTGGGGATGCCTGGGAGCAAACTCTGAGGTCCCAGGAAGACTCCCGTGTCTGGGTACTTGGATAGGAGCCCTCAAGGGGATGCTGAGGTCTGGATGGTAGCGGAGATTGTGCACAGTGTGTGTAAGAAACTGGGTCTCTCAGTCTCTGGGACTTCTGGGTCCATGTCCTGGGATGTCCCTGAGGTCTGGTGATGTGAGCTGGCTGGAGGAGAGGAGTAGACCATGCTGAGGGGTAGACAGACCATGGCGTGAAGACCTTGTCGAAGGTACTAGCGTGCTCTCTCTCAGATTAATGAATTAATTTACAGATGGATTTCTTCCACGGGAGGCAGAGAGGATGGAAATGGATTAATTGACAATGGAGTCTGTTCAACAGCTGGGTAGATGCCTCCAAGTCCATCCATGTGTGGTGGGCAGCTGAGAATAGAGTTAGACTTCTGCAGAGAGCACAGAGCCATATGGGGGCTTCTCCATGAAGACAGGTGGAATTCAACTTCTGAAGTGAGATCCACACACGCTGTGTGGAATCAGATGCCCAGTTCTGTTTGCATTTTGGATCTTTGATATATAATTTCCCCCCACCGAGGACACAGGTGCCAGAGACAGGGAGACAGAGAGAGAGGCAGAAAGGACCCCCATGGGGGACAGTCACCCTGCAAGCCCTTCTCCTCCACCTCTCCCTTTCTTTGGAATTTGGGGCATGCATGCACATACTCCTGGTGTGTTTTTCATGACACTGGGTCTGAAACTCAAAACGCACAGTCAGCCCTTTGGGATCTGGTTAATTGATCCATCAGGACTGAGAGCTAGCTCCAATGTATACTTTTTATTTTTTTTAACATATTTTTGCTATAGAGTGTGTGCACTCACTAGAGAGACAGAGAGACAGAGAAAGTGAGAACTCACCCCCAGGGGGATGGCCATGCCACAATCCCATGTCTATTCTCCGTGGGTTTTTGGGCACACAGGCGCATGCACCCAGCATGAGTTTCAAGCTGCCAGATCTGGGACTCAAACCATGGTCGACCCTGTGGGAGTCCAGCATCTTAAGTGCTCTCCATTTTCAGTGCAAGGACACCCCATGAACTATTTAGTGTTGTACTGACACCTCCAAATATACCCTGCACTCATATGAAATTCCAACAGAACTGGGTGCTTCTTATTTAATCTGGAAAAAACTTGAATTCCAAGGGGGCTCTTGCATTTGACAAGTGAAATGAGAAAAGCCAACCCCGTGCAGGGAGGCAGAGAGAATTCTCTGTGGGACACAAGCAGTCTTGGTATTAGCAAGATGGTGGTTCGAAGGGACGGTGGTGCTAACCCGTTGGCTTCTGTGACTTTAGGAATGGCGTCTGACAGTAACCTGAACCGCGGCTTCCCTTGGCTGGGTGGCTCCGGGGGACTGCCCACCAACGAAACGACTTTTGCGGAGCTCCTTCAGCATCGAGGGTACCGCACTGGCTTCATAGGTATGGCCCTGGGACCCCACACATGGACGTGACGTCACGGGTGTTCCCTTTCACTCTAATGGCAGCATGGACTCCTGAGTAAGACTGGGGTGGGTGTGTCAGCAAACACCCACTGACATCCACTCCTGTAAAACTTAACTGCTAACAGCCGGCTGTTGGCTAGAAGACTTAGCAAGAACATACACAGCTGACAAATGCATTTGGTTCACAGCACACGAAGCCACTTCAAAAAGTGCATGGTGGGAGGAGCACGTGGCACGGTGGTTAAGGTGCTGGACTCCCATGTGGAGGACCACAGTTTGAGTCCCAGGTCTGGAAATTTGAAAGTCATGCCAGGCACTTGCGTGTGCATGCCCAAAATCCCAAGAGAGAATGGAGGAGAAGAGATTTTGGTGTAACTATCCCTCTTGGGGGAGATTTCTTACTTTCTATCTCTCTGTCTCTCCACTGAGCACACATGCCCTATAGCAAAAATCTCTCTCTCTGAAAAAAGAAAAGTAAGTAGAGAATGAGTTTATTTGGGTGCAAAAAAAAAAAAATAGAAATCCATGCATAGTTTTTTTACAACATTCATTACCATGACCATTTTAAAGTCCTCTCCTATGTATTATATACTGGATTCTTACAATAAAGTCAGCTAGATAGATAATATTATTAAGAAAAAATTAATAGTAAGCCAACTGTTCCTTCTGAATACACCACCAGACTCATCTCTTTTAAAAATAATTTATTAATTTAATTTATTATTATTTAATTTGCTATAGGCCATGTGTGCTCATCAGAGAGAGAGGGAATGTGAGAAAGCAAGCCACCAGATCCAGGACTCAAACCATACTTGGCCATGTGGGAGTCCAGCACCTCAACCGCCATGCCACCACTGGCATGATGTATGTCATTTTCAACAGAGAACTTGGCGTTTTTGCGTCTGTTAATTGTTTGTTCCGTTTTTCTCTCCTGCCCACCTTCTATTGTCCACCCCTCCCTCTCACAGTCTCTGGGGTCTACATTTATCCTCTCTACCATATTTCAGACTTTCCATGGTTGCAGAGGACCAACATTTAGTATATATTGAGCGGGGATATCCAGTGTTTGTCTTTCATAGTCTGACTTACTTATCATGTAATCTTCTATAGTCACCCACTTTGTATCGAATGGCAGGATTTTATTTTTTTTAATGGCTGAGTAGTATTCCATAGTGTATATGTGCTGCATTTTTTCAACCCAGTCATCCATTCTTGGGCACTTGGGTTGAGTCCATGTCTTACCAATTATGAATGATGCTACAATAAGCATGGCTGTGCAAAGGTCTTTCCAACCGAGTCTTTTCCTATCCTTTGGGTAAATACCAAGGAGTGGGACTATTGGGTCAAATGGAAGTTCTATTTGTAGGCTTTTGAGGAACCTCTCTATCGTTTTCCACAGGGGCTTGACCAATTTACATTTCTACCAGCAGTGTAGGAAAGTTCTCTTTTCACAACAGCCTCACCAGCACGTGTCCTTTTTCCTTTTTTGAGGACATCTTTCTTTCTTTTTCTTTCTTTCTTTCTTTCTGTCTTTCTCTTTCTTTCTTTCTTTCTTTCTTTCTTTCTTTCTTTCTTTCTTTCTTTCTTTCTTTCTTTCTTCTTTCTTTCTTCTTTCTTTTTCTTTCTCTCTTAGCTGTGTAAGAAAGTTCTCTTTTCACAACAGCCTCACCAGCACTTGTCCTTTTTTCTTTCTTCCTTTCTTTCCTCTTTTCTTTCTTTCTTTCTTTTTCTTTCTTTCTTTCTTTCTTTCTTTCTTTCTTTCTTTCTTTCTTTCTTTCTTTCTTTCTTTCTTTCTTTCTTTCTCTCTTAGCAG